TTGTCCATTTAATCTTACGTACGGTTGTTTTAAGTTGAGGTTGTTTTGGGTATTCTAAAATTTAATGGCGGTATAAGAGGCGTTATTTCAGGGGTAAGAGGGTGGGCATGATTTGTGGATCCGAAAAGTCCAACTCCCAAGTCCCAACCCATCCTTTCCTCTATTTTCCTTTTACTCCTCTTTCTTTCTTATACCTCTCTCATACATCTCCATTCTCCATAGCCGCCATAATCGACCTTTTCACTTCGCCTTCTTCTGGTTTTGATCGCTCTGGCGTTGCTCTTCATCCCGTCGGCGGTCATCTATGTTTGATAGAATGTGATTATTCTTTCCGTATTCACTTTGAATCCTTATTAGTCTACCCATTCGAATGGGCCTTCTCGTTGTATTGCTACTTACTTTCTTATTTCATGTATTGTTTTGCAGATCTGGTTTATTTACTGCCTTGATTTCCCATGATCTCACATTTGCTTTCTATTCCAATATTTTTTTTTTGTAGATGTTATTTGGATCAAGACAATGGTAATGTTTTAGATGCAGTGTTTTCTCGCTTCAAATCTTGTCGATTGTGGCCCTGCTTGCTGGGTTTGATCATTGTATCTGAATAATATTTTGTCGTAGTAGTTTAGTATTTTCAGCCCAGTGTTGTAGTTGTTCTCGATTTAGTCGTTCTATCCATTCGTGGTATGGATTCATGCGTAGTGTTATTTTGTTTTTAGTGGTTTGTCTAGAGTGATTCTGCCTGTCGCAGTGTTTTTGTTGCATACTAGTGGTTGTAATAATCTCGGTCTATGCAAGGCAATTTGAGTATGTTGGCATTTTATCTTGTGAAATTACTACTAACATCGTAAATACACTACTACAATCATGATTAACACCTACCATAGTCAATAATCGAAACACTATCACCTTCTCTAAAATTGCTCATACAACCAATCAACTACAACAACGACTGTCGCAAAACACTACTATATATGATTGTAAACACTACCACTGTGATAAAACACTACTACTTAGAATAATAACTACTACAAAATATCATCAAAATTAGTAATACTATTATTAAATCACTACTAAGTACCAATCAAGGCAGAGAGACTTGAAGGGAGAGACAATTAGTAAATTCAGGGGGTTTCTCCAAAAAAGGGCATTGATTTCCAAAATGCCAACCACCCTGTAAAATCCGTTAAATCCGCACTTTCAGATTTCCCATAAATCATTATTAATTTTTTCATTTAATTTTTCTCTTTATTTTCCTAATATACCCTTCCTCTAATTATAGCCATTAGATCTAGAATAGAAGTGAGCGGTTCATATGTTAGTTAGTATGATGCTAATCTACTATGGAGTTAACACCCTATCTCCTCCCAGTTATAACAGAACAGAAGGGTTGAGTTCAAGTCCTTAAGTCTCATTTTTTAAGGAGAATCTTAAAGCCTTTCTATTGGCTGGTAGTGGATTAGGTAGTTAATGGCAGTTAGTAGTTAATAGGTATTTAAGAGTAAATGGGGTATGCAAATATAATTAATTAATGATTCTCATTCTCTCTCCTCCCATGATTTTCTCCATAACCCTCTCTCTACATTATAATTAAAATGAAATATGAAATTAATTTTATTTAATATTTAATAAAATCCGAATTTAATAATTTTCTTTTTCTAAAATGGAAATTTGAAATTTAAAATATATGTCTCTCTCACTTCTTGGCAAATTCCGATTAGTATTAAGTATTAACGTTTTGTAATGACATTCTCAATATTTATAAATTGAATCATCATTAGGGCTTTTCGTTGCATTGGTTTGGGATTTTTCGTTGTTATGTATTCGTTTGTGTTATTATTAATGTTGTTCCACATGTTTTTTAATAATTCTATATGACATTATTGAATTTTTATGTTATGTTTTGTTTGTAACATTAGCAAAAGTGAAATTGTGTTTTCAATTTATTGGTACTTGAAGTTTATTTACTATTACATCGTATTATCAATTTGGTTGGCAATGATTTATAATCATTTGAAGTGATATTATCAATGTTTTTTTTTCAAGCACAATACAACCATTAGCAAAATTTTATTTCATTTGTAAGATTGCTTATGTTTAGTGATTTGAATTATTACTATTTTTTCGTTTATGTTTGTAACTTTGTCAAATGTCATTATCAAGAAGAGCATACTTGTTAGGAATTCGTTTGTTTACGACATTAGCAAAAGTGAATTTACGTTTAATGATATAACTATGATTATTAATCTTTCAGTCTAAGTTAGTAACGTATTTGGTGTCATTATTAATAGGTGTGTATAAGCATTATCAATGTTTGAAAAATAAGATATTAATAATATCTAATAAGGTACTTAACAATCATTAGTTGCTATCATTATCAACGTTTTTTAATGCATTATCCATTAAACACATGTTACTTATTAATGCATTTTTAGTTTTTTTTTACATTAAACATTGCATATGAATATTATTAATAATTTTTTTATTACAAAAATCTATTTCCTTATGAGTGACTTATTCAATATTAATGGTTTTTAATATCTTTGTTAAAAATTTGATGTCATTTATAATGTTGAAGTCGGACATTTTTATATTGATGTTTTGTGTTTATTTTCAATGAAATACTTTTCGTTATCAATGATTTATTGTATTGTTATTAAAAATTTGGTGTTGAGGCGTGAATGTTGGTTTGCTTGAGCTAATATTTTTCTGGACAATGTTTGTTTGTCTGAATCACACAAGTGCACTATGTCACAAGTACCCAAGATGTTGAAAATCAGTATTGTGCTTTATGATCATTAAGAATGATAATGTAAAGCAATATTAATTGATCATAAAACGTTAATAATGTCATTAGAAATCATTGAAAGAGGCCATGACTAGATAGTTATAAACATGATGTGAAAATGTTAATAATTAGTACTAAAGATGTTGTAAATCAATGATATTGTTATTCAAACTGTTAATGACCATGTTACATAACTTTAATGATTCATTCATAGGCGTTGATGACGAAACTATAAAACAGTAATAATTGATCCAAAATTGTTAATAATGTAATTGTAAGGAATTGATAAGTATATTGAAGTCGTTAATAATGATGAGGTATACTAATAACGATTCATTTCATAAATATTGATAATGTCATTGCAAAATGTTAATACGGCATTCAAGTTGCCACGAAGTGAGAGAGAGCATATATTTTTAATTTTCAATTTTAATTTTAATAAATAAAAAATATTAAGTTCGAATTTATTAAATATTAAATAATAATATTTAATTAAATTAATTTTGAATTTCCTTTTAATTGTATTGGAGAGAGAGGGTTATGGAGAAGATCAAGGGGGAGAGAGAAAGAGAATCATTAATGAGTAATATTAATTATATTTTCATAATATCTTATTTATTCCAACTAACTATTAACTACTAACCCCTCATTAACTACCTAATCTAGTATCAGCCAATAAAAATGGTTTAAAAACCTCCTTAAACAAGGAGGCTTAAGGACCGGATCCAACCCGATGAACCGATAATTAGAACGGCTCACACTTTAATGATTTAACCAGTATTAAGCCTTTAAAAATTTGTTAATGAACGGGTGTCATATGAATAAGAATATTATAAGCAGAACATATAATAAAAAATAAAATAAATTATTCTTAAACAAATTGCTAACATTCAAACTCTAGATGTTATTATTCTCCTACAATAAATTAAAATTTTCAATAAAAAATAAAATGGGAAAGGATTATTGAAAAAGGGGTGAATGGTAGCATTGGTTATAAGAAACTTGGGGAATAGGTTAGGGTGATTACTCTTTTTTTTCTTTGTTTTCCCTCTTTGTTAAAGAATTAACGGTCTAGGTTGCTTTAAGAATAATTTTAAAAACGAAAAAGATCTGACATGTGATTATCATTCTTTACAACTTACGGGTCGTTTGCTTCAAGGATTTGAAAAATGAGGGTTTTGGTAAAATCTGGATTTTGGAAAACCATGGATATATGATGGATTTGGTGGCATTATGGATTTGAACAAGTCTATTGTTAGCTTGATGGATTTGATTATGGACTTTGTTTGATTAGATTTGTGGATATTAAATACTAATTACCTAGTTACCCTTATTTAATTATATTTCTATATTATAATCCAAATCTTTCGTTTAAAACTAATCCAAAACATAAAAAAAATTTAAACTCTTTACCACTATGTGGATTAATAATTCTACTACAAATATAGAAATGTATTACAATTTGGCACTAATTAACAACTCATCTAATAATGTACGCAATATTATGTATCAATTGTAGCCAGTTGCTCGCTTTATTGCTACAACTCATCATCTTCTTGCTAACTCACCGATGTGAAATCCGACAATCAATCAAATAATAATGTACAAGATGAGCATAAAGTGTTTCTAAGTGAATCTAACAAATCACATATACATTCATATTTAAATAAAGGGTTAATTACATGGTTGGTCACTGAGATTACAATAAACGTTCAAGTTTGGTCACTCGAAATATTTAAATCCATTGATGGTACTTCAGTTTACTCAAACCGTTCACGTCTGGTCACTCTCCGTCCAATTCCGTTAACTTTGGCTGATGTGGCAGTCAACTCTCAAAGTTGACCGTTAACTTAGTGACGTGGCAACTAAAAAATTATTAAAAATAAAAAAACAAATTTTTATATTTTCCATCTTACTATTACATTCATTAAAAAAAAAAAAACCTAATTAGTTTTCTACATCCATCCGTTTCTTCACCTGGAAATGTCGAAGTGGAACGCATCCTCTTTCGTGGATCGCCCAATTCAAACCCTTCGACCGGGTCGAGATAAGCTCCGACGACCCCGGCTTCCGCGGCTCCTGGTTTCTCTCAATTCTTTCTTTCCTTCCTTCCGTTTCAATTTCTGGCAAGAGAGAGACGACTAGTAGTCGGTCGACGGTGATAGCCAGGACGACGACGACGACAGGATAGGCCGTCGACGAACTCAAGTCAATGGAGAGATCTCAGCTGCGGAATCGGAATTACACGGTAGATGGAGAAGAGGAAGAATCGTCCGCGGTGGCTGGTCGGAATTCGACGACGGACCGGCAGAGGATGGTTGTGACGGAAGCGGAGCTGGAATTGTTTTTCAGCAGTATGAACGGCGGGAAACAGGAACTGAATCGATTGAATGAGAAGTAAGAACGAATTTTTATATTTCCGTGAATGACGGTACCGGAGAACGAGGAGCTGTTTGCCCATGTACAGATGGAATGAATAGAAGGTCTTTTTCAATAAATTGGGGGTAATTAATTCCTTAAGTTCCTTACATTTTCTATTCATCAACAAAGCTAAAATATTCAAATCTTAGTTTCTTTGGCTTCAGATTGAGGGGGGACTTAGACGGATGGTGATTCTCTGTTTCTTTGGCTTCGGATTATGTGTACGGTGGCGACGGAGCTTTTCCACGGAGACAGGCTGGAAAGTCTTTGCATTCGTTGGGAGAATCGCTAAGCACCTTCAAGCCTCAAGGATTCCAACGATTCCAACAGGACATACGGAGTGAGGGGACGACGCAGACGGAGCCGCGGAAGCCGGGGTCGTCGGAGCTGATCTCGACCCGGTCGACGGGTTTGAATTTGGCGATCCACGAAGAGGATGTGCTCCACTTCGACATTTCCAGGTGAAGAAACGGATGGATGTAGAAACTAATTAGGTTTTTTATTATTTTTTAATGAATGTAATAGTGAGATGGAAAATATAAAAATTTATTTTTTACTTTTAATAATTTTTTAGTTGCCACGTCACTAAGTTAACGGTCAACTTTGAGAGTTGACTGCCACATCAGCCAAAGTTAACGGAGTTTGACGGAGAGTGACCAAACATGAACGTTTTGAGTAAACTGAAGTACCACCAATGGATTTAAAAATTTTGAGTGACCAAACTTGAACGTTTTTTGTAATCTCAGTGACCAAACATGCAATTAACCCTTAAATAAAATACGATATTACAAAATGAAATGATAAATTCTCATATTTATAAAATACAAAATTATAAAAGTTTACAGTTGCATGACCATTGAATTCAAGTAGGACAAATTTGTAATTAAAGAAATACTTAAGGGTAGAAAGGTAACTTACCATCATGGATTTTAATCCATCATCCAAATCCCACCTCAAGAGGTGGAACTTCCAAGTCCGTGGGGTCCACGGATTTGGAACCCCAAAAGAGGTGGGCCCCACAAATTCCATCTCACTAATTCCCTAAGGCAAACGATGGATTTCGGTTTAAGTCCATGATGATATATTTCCATGACCAAATCCATGACCAAAACCCTCAAACAAACGACCCCTAATAATGTCTCCCCACCCATCTCTTTCCCAACCGCCTCCCTCCACCCTTCCTCCTCGTCACGCCCAGCCGCGCTCCTCCCTCTTTTTGTTGGTCCAGAATGATCTCTTCCATGGATGGGGGATGGATATAAAGCTTCAATCCTGTGACAAGTTACATATGCATGTTACCTACCTACCTCTCTCTCTCTCTCTCTCTCTCTCTCTCTCTCTCTCTCTCTATCTATGTATCTATCTACCCGACGAGTAACTATTGCCAACGATTGTCATCGGTGCGATGGCGAGGAGGAGCCTCCAAAGGATTCCACAGCGCCGCCGATCCCTCCCCATTCATCATGCCACCAGAACCTATCATCCAGATTTCCATCCCCTCGGTCGGATTCCATATCTGGTTCTTTCATATTGGTATGTATTTTTTTCGTATTGGTGTTGATTTTTTATAGTGGTGATTCAGTATTCACATACAATTGTTAAAAGTACTCCTACTATGACCTAGGGTTGTATTGCTCGAGGTCTTCTAATGCACAATTACTAATACCAACCATCATGACATGAAATAAACAGGCAGACAAGAAGAATAATTTTTTTTAGGGGTTTTCAATTTATAGCGGCATAAAAGTAAAGATATATTATTGTAAGAGGTAGTGCACTCTAAGAAAATCATGCAAACTAGGGCTCATTCACATCATGCATCGATGGTTCATCTATTGTAACACCCTATCACTAGCTAATGCATGCATTCGATTCATGCCATTACCTAATTAATGAAGAACAATGAAGTTACAATAACATATAGTTAATTGGGATCTTCTACAAGCCATAACGATAGTCTATACACTACAAAAAAGACTATCATTAGTGACCATAGGTTTTCGTCAAGACCAGATTCCGTCACAAATGGGATTTTGCGACGCCATGAAGCCATCGCGCTCCTTTCCAAATACGAGCGTCACAAAAAAATCTTCGTGACGAGCCGTCTCAAAAGCTATTTTGAGACGACTACAAGTCATCTCTAATGCTTCTTTAGTTTGACGAACTTGAAAGACTATTTTCCGACGACAAAGAATCATCACAATAATTATTAATCTCGTCTGTAATACCTTTTTACATTGACGAAGCTTACAACGTTGTGATTTTTCTGACAAAACATAGTCGTCTCTATAAGTAATATGGTCATCGATAATGTATTTTCACATTGATGAAGCTGAAGATATTGACACTTTTGTGAGGAAACATGATCGTCTCTATAATTAGGTCATTGGTAATGCATTTTTACATTGAGAAAGGTTACCATTGTCATTTTTTGACGAAACGTGATCATTGTGTAAGTAGTAAGGTCATCGATAATGTATTTTTTTTATTGACGAACTTCAATAATATTTGGGACAATTATTGAACATCGTCCCAAATTGTATATTTATGACAAGCGAAGTTTTGTTACAAATAAGAAATTCAATATTTGTGACGAAATTCCCTGATCCGATTGATAGAGCTAAAGATCTTTCACTTGCAGGAACCTCCGATCCCGCCGTTTCATCCACCCTTTTGTTCACCATTTTGTTTGTTTCTAGACAGGCTTACCCATCTGGCCACAACAACAACAATATTATTAGAAAAGAAATAAACCCACAGATGAGTCCAAGGCAATAGGTGATTCTAACCCCGTAGATGTTCTGTTTTTCCTTTTGGTGAAACCCCTAGAAATCCAAAATGAAAGAACCCATAAAGACAGATGATTCTGAATCAATGTCCAGAAAAATAACAAACTCAGAACATTGTTTGATGGAGATGGTGTAAAAACATATGAAAATCACCTTGCGTGTAATCCTGTCGAACAATATGCTACTTCGATATCAATATCCTACACAAAAGAACAATGAATCATCCACAAATACAATTTGAAGATAGTTTAAAGAGTGCTAAATAAGATATTAAAAGACACAGTTAATTGGTTTAGGGTTTAGAACACTACAACGTGGATGAAGATGAAGAGTTCAGAAAACATACCAGTATTCCCTCGAGAGTAGGGCTGGTAAATGGTATTAGGGTTAACAGTTTAATCGGTAACCGTACCGGTAATCACGGTTACCGAACCGTTAACCGTACAAAACGGTATTCGGAGACAGGATTGTGGGAAGCGGTATACCGAGATAGAAACGGTAAAATACCGTCGGTGGGTCGGTCTACCGACACCGAATGGGAAAGGTCATCAAGTAAATGCGGCCGCCCAAATGCCTCTACCCTACCTAAGTCTAAGACATAAGTAATTTACCTAGACCACTAAATCGCTATTGTATCGCTCTCTCCCCCGCCTGGCGCACGACGAGTCACGCCGTTGATCCCTCCTTCGTTCATCACATCCAAACGCCGCCACATCGAAACAGGAAGAATCTGCGTTGCTCTGTCGCTGACGCAAGCTCGACCCACGAGACACGACCCAACAGTACGGTGCCTCATCCTCTCCGTCGGGCTCTGTTTCCGTCGACCCCCTTCGCCGTGGCCTTATTTCCGTCGAACCCCGCCGCCACAGTTCGTCATCTCTGTCGATTGAGGTAACTTTACGTTGATTTATTAATTGTATCATACTTTCACAGTTTCATAATTTCATTGGTTGTGTGTCTATTATAGCCGAGTTCGGGAGCAGCCGTGTGAATGTGTATGTGTCGCAGCCGAGCAAAGAAGCATTATGAGTTAATTAATTTGTTTTTGCAGGGTGTGTTACAGCTGACAGGGAACAAGTGTAAAGAGTTGTATTTCATTTATTTATAGGTTGGGTCAGTGGGACTTGGTATTGCAATCCTGAACCTCGCCACTTTGCACTGCGAAGTTACCATTTCCGCAAGCTGTAGCACTGATTTTCTCCATTTTGCGGTAAACGGATAACCGGGATGACAACCGATACCGTCCCATTCGGTAATCGGCTTACCAAAAATTATTCGGTATCGGCAAACGGCAGAGGTGTATTGGTTTCCAGTATACCGGTAACCGGTTTAACCGTTTACCGACCGTTTACCAGCTCTACTCGAGAGTTTTGCCTAGTTATTTATTTCCATTGATCATTGGCTTTATAATAACCTAGTTTCTGAATCGTCCCCTTGGAGAATTAGATTTTTATGGCCACCAATTTGATTTTTCAATGGGTTTTAGAGGTTAATTTATTTATTGAGCATTTGCCATGTGGGACGGCGGCTCCTTCAAGGACACCAACCAGTCCCCCCGGGCTCCTCTCCGGCGACTCATCTGATTGAAAGAAACTATCCTGTAGGCTTCGGTACAAACCAAACACCAATATTTTGGCCGCTTGTTTCTTTCAATACAGACGAGGTAGACCTGGGCGCCCAACCAAAAGTGTCTGTTGTTGGCGCCGCCGGTAACACAGAGGTCGGACTAAGCGGCCAGACCAGGTAGCGGGGATGGAAATCGTTCAAGATTCGTGGGGTGGAGAGCGTCGGTGGTGAGGAGCTGGCCGATATTGGCGCCGGAGAGGAGTTCCGGCCAATTGTTTGGCGGCACCGGTTGGTGTGCTTGAGCGGAGCTGCTGTTTAAATTCTCGTAAAACGGTAAAAAAAAGAACATGGAAGGTTGGAATTCGGATTAGGGTGCTGGGGAAAGGGAAGGTACGGGTGATTAATTGATAGGGAAGGACTCAATTAATTAATTAATAATTAAATACATTGACAGATGGCATGTTTTGATTGGCCGGGAGTACCACATCACCATTCCTACGTGGTACTCCCGGTGTAGCCAATAATTTCTCTGGATTTTATGTCGCGCCAATTTGCTTCTTTCTTCACTTTGTGCCCGCCTAATCCTAATTGATGAGAGTTACTTCCCCAAATTTCTAGCCACGTTATGAGTGATTTCCCCAATTTGCTCCAATTTCCTAGATTAGTTGTTTATTTATGTCGTAAGTAATTAATAGGATTTGTACAAAATAAAAGTAGTTGATATGATTTATTTACCTAGGTGGTAGGCAAGCAGATCGTCCATTGCCTTCCCCTTTTCAATACCACATATACAATTGCACGACGTACTAATTACTAAACATACCTACAACATCTAACCCAAATGATCATGGCCGTATAATGACCTTAGCGGCAAGGATTCAGTTTTTCAATGACAGGCTATAGGCTGTCACAATTAAATATTTTTTCGAAGAAACATTATGGACGACTTTTTGTATACGTAAAAAAAAACTCTCTCACTGACTTTTTTCGATGAAACTTAGATTTAGTTACAAAGATGCTTTATTTTGCTGACAAGGTATATGCTTTGTCACAAATACATTAATTCTTGATAAAACGTTACTTACGAAAGGATTTTCTCCGCCACAAATAAGGTTGGCGCCAAATCTTACCTCCAAC